CGGGGGGCATCCGGCCGGGGTCGATACTGGGGCAGAGGGGGTGGGAGTGAAGGAGGAGGGGGGGGATCTGGCGGGAGTGGATACTGGGGCAGAGGGGATGGGGGTGAAGGAGGAAGGGGGGCATCTGGCAGCGGTGGATACTGGGGCAGAGGGGCTGGGCGTGAAGGAGGAGGCAGTGGTTGTCAAGGATCAGCATAAGTGGCTGGCCAGGCCCTGTAGTCCGGGATGCAAGGTTGGGACAGTGGGGGACGGGAAGAAGATGGAGAAGCGGACTCTGGGCCATTTGGGAGTGGGCCAAGACCCAACTGTGGGGCATATAGTACCTCCAACACAGGATGATCAATGACCAAAGCCCCCACTCACGGTATCGTGAAGTTGTTCTAAGGGACGCTGGACCCGGTTTCCCGCAGGTGACGCTCGCCACCAATAGATGGAGCAGCCCACTGGCCAAGTCCTCAATCCTGGCGGCTTTCTTACCGCCGCCAGGATTGTGGACTTCGGAAAGGGCTTTCCCCGGGGTAAAAAAAAGAGAAAAGAGATAGCTGGCTTGTCCCCCCTGGTTGGTTGTGGACGAATGAATGCTAACTTTCCAGCTCGTGCCAGGTGTTAATAAGAGCCTGGGTAGCACTCCCCCCATAGAGCAGAGTTAGGTAGGCTGGGGTGTCCAGTCTCTAACACAGAACACTTGGGATCCCTGTGGAATAGCCAGTATATATATTCAAAAAAGAAAAAGAAAAAAAGGCTGTCACCCGCACGAGGAGAGGACAGCTTACAGGAGGAAAAAAAAAAAAGAGACAACTCCGCCTGTGACCGCCGCACAGTTCAGACTTCGCAGAAAGAACAGTCCACTGCAAGATTGGGCCAAGACCAGTTAGAAACAGCAAGGAAAACATTAAACTATGCGTTTGACGGCCTACCGGTTCAATAATTGGCAAAAACGGGAGGTGGCCTGGGCTAGTGGTACCTCTCTCTTTCCCGTGGCCTGGCCTGGGAGCAGGTACTGATAGCAGGCCATCCCTTATTTTTTATTTTTCATTTTTCCCGTTTTTGGCTTCTGGCGGGACTCGGTTCGGGTTGGAAAACGACCCCACTTGGTCGGTACAGGAAAAGCCACCGACCGTGCCACGCGGCCCGTTAACACCCACCCCATTCTCTCTCTCTCTCTCTCTCTCTCTCTCTCTCTCTCTC